CCAGCACTTTGGGAGGCTGAGGTGGGAGAATCACCTGAGGTCAGGAGTTCAAGACCAGCCTGGCCAACATGGTGAAACCGAGTCCCTACTAAAAATACAAAAAAAAAAAAAAAAAATTAGCCGGGCTGGGCACAGTGGCTCAGGCTTGTAATCCCAGCACTTTGGGAGGCCAAGGCAGGAGGATCACAAGGTCAGGAGATTGAGGCCATCCTGGCCAACATGGTGAAACCCACCTCTACTAAAAATACAAAAATTAGCTGGGCATGGTAGTGCGTGCCTGTAATCCCAGCTACTTGGGAAGTTGAGGCAGGAGAATCGCTTGAACCAGAGAGTTGGAGGTTGCAGTGAGCCGAGATCGCGCCACTGCACTCCAGCCTGGGCTACAGAGTGAGATTCCTCTCAAACAAAACAAACAAACAAATTAGCTGGGTGTGATGGCCGGTGCCTGCAATCCCAGCTACTCAGGTGGCTGAGGCACAAAAATTGCTTGAACCCGGGAGGCAGAGGTTGCAGGGAGCCGTGATCGCACTACTGCACTCCAGCCTGGGCAACAGAATGAGACTGTCTCAAGAAAAAAAAAAAGAAAGAGGGAGTGTCCCTTCCTGAGTGTACAGTTCTGAGTGTGGAAGGTGACTGTGTAGTATCATGGGTCCTGCCTGCTGACCCCTTGTGGGTGGTGGTCTCTGTGTCTCGTGAGTGTGCTTGTGTGTGTGAGACCCTCATCCGGTGTGCCGATGGGCTGATGACAACCGCGGCCCCAGGGAATTGCAGGGGCTTCTCCGTTTATTTATGCTCCAATTCCCTGGGGGGCTGGGCCTCGTGCCTTGTGGCTGGGACACTGGATCTGGGTGACAGACAGGAAGGCCGAGGTCTGGGAGGCCCCGGAGGGTGGACAACACTCACATGCACATGCACACAGTGGCATGTGTGAGCTTCCGGGGCGGCAGACCCCTGAGGGTCAGCTTTCTCACTGTGCGTCCTGGGCTGAACAACACTCCTCTCTCTGAGGCCAGGCCATCTAGGATGGGGAAACTGAGGCTCAGAGTAAGCGTCACTTGGGCTTCCGCAGCGTCTGGAAACTCCGGGCTCTCTGCGGAGGCCAGGCTGAGTCGGCCCAAATGGTGGAGGAATCTACCACCTCAAACCTCAGAGCCAGAAGACTGCGGGGGTGGGCAGGGACCCCAGCCAGCGGCAGCCCTGAAACTGCTTCCCAAGCAGACCACCCACGGGCTTGGGCCTGGCCGCCAAGCCCTGTTCTCAGGGCCCCCTGGAAGTCCTGCTCATTAGCCTCCTTGAGTGTCTCTAGCTGTAGCTGTAGGTCCCCGGGAGCCTGGGGCCAGGGATGTTCCTCTATGTCTGGGTGATTCTCCCTGGGGGCAGTTTCTGATCTGCGCCCTCCAGCTTTGCCGGTGGGGGGGGGGGGTCGCGGGGAGGTGCGGGCTGAACCTGGGAAGGGACACTGTGGTTAGAGGGTGGTCCTAAGGGCGGACGTGTGGGAAGGAGTGGAGGGGGCCCAGCTAAGGGGAAGGGTTGTAACCTTGGGAACCCCCAGTCTGAGGGGCAGGAGGGGAGGAGTCTCGCCTCGTCGGTGCCTGCCCTGGGCTCGCAATGCCCGCCCCTTCCCCGCCCCTCAGACCGACCGTGGGACCCGCCGACCCCTCCCGCGCTCTGGCAACCCAACACCCCAGGCCTGCCAAGCATCAAGGTGACACCGTGGGCAAATCTAAACACCGAGCCGGGCTTTTTCCATCCTCCGCAGGGGCTTGTCGTAAATCCCCCCTCGAGGCCCGGCCAGGGCTTTTATGGGCCGAGGACCCAGGTCTCTGGGGACCCAGCTCTACCCCAGCAGGCGCCGGCTTCGGGCTGGATGGGGCTGGCGCCCGCCCCAGGCCTCTCCCCGCCGGGAGGTGGGCAGCGTGCGGATATTTTTAGTAGCTGGAGGAAAGGAGATAGTGGCTTTCAGCTCACCCTGGTGGGGGAAGACCGGCCCGAGGAGGCCGTCGGGTAAGGGAGGTCTGGGTCCACCTGGACCTCAGTCTCCTCACCCAGAGTGGCTCCCCCTTCCCCCTCCCTAGAAGCCCACATAGCGGGAGAAGTGCGGACGGGGAGACTCTGGGGAACTGATTCCACCTGGACCTCAGGCTCCTCACCCCCAGTGTGGTTCCCTTTCCCCCTCTCCAGGAGTCTACACAGCAGAGAGGTGCAGTCGGGGACAAGCTGGGGAAACTGGGTCCACCTAGACCTCAGACTCTTCATCCCAGAAGCCCACACTGCGGAAGGGAATAAGCTGGGGAAGGGAGGTGCGGCAGGGAACAAGCTGGGGAAACTGGGTCCACCTAGACCTCGGTCTCTTCATCCGGAGCGTAGCTCCCCTTCCCCCTCCCCAGAAACCCACACAGGAAAGAGGTACGGACCGGGACACGCTCGGGACGGGCAGAGGGACCCGTAGGGAGGCAGGAAAGACGGTCCCTGCCAACATAGCCCCATTCACCCCATTTTTCCTTTTTGTCTGCCATAAACTGGAGCCACTTTGCATCTACCCTTCCCCCAAAGCAAACGGCATCCTCCCACCACCCTGCAGCTGGGCCCCCCACTGGTCCCCGCTTTCCCGGCGGAGACAGCGACGCGAGCCACCCGCGAGCCCCTAGCCGAGGGTGAATCACCAGCCAGTTCGAGTTCCCACACTTTATCTCAGTACAGTTATCGCGAGAGTCCCGGGGCCGCGCTGGCGTGCTCTACGCACGCGCAGTCTGTCGCGGGGCCGGCCGGT